ACCCCATTTACTTTATCAATGGTATAACCCTGTTGACTTCAGTGGGGTTACTCTTGAATTTGACCCAAAAGTTTGTCATGGTTTCCATCTACAATAATACATTTGTGTATTTTTTTGGTGTGAAAATAGCTTAAGTAACCAGTTTGTAATGAAAACTGGAACATGGGCAGTTTTGCCTGGTTTTGAATTCTGTTATAGAAGTTTCAGCTTTAAAACAGATGTGACCCAAGTATTACTCAACACTTCTGAGTCAGTCAGACTCTCTGCACTTGGAACTCCCATTGACTTTAGTGGTAATTCTAAAGGAGGAAGTGAAGGGGGCAGGGGCCACATGTACTATTGAGCCCTTCAAGATCAAACTTTGGTTGCTTTAAACTTTCACTAAGTATTGAATAATCCCTTGACCAGAAAGCATAAGGAACACTGAAAGCAAGAAGAATGCAACTCAAATAGTAAATCAATGGCCTAGATTTTATCACTGGCTTTCTACATAAATTCATCCAAATGGAAAGAACCAAGAATTGATTCTCCAAAACATGTAGCAGTAGCCACACTACAATAGAGCACTGATGTCTTCCTAGGAATTATGACGTGATTGGAATAACAGAGACTTGGTGGGATAACTCACATGACTGGAGTACTGTCATGGATGGATATAAACTTCTCAGGAAGGAGAGGCAGGGCAGAAAAGGTGGGGGAGTTGCACTGTATGTAAGGGAGCAGTATGACTGCTCAGAGCTCCGGTATGAAACTGCAGAAAAACCTGAGAGTCTCTGGATTAAGATTAGAAGCGTGAGCAACAAGGGTGATGTCATGGTGGGAGTCTACTATAGACCACCGACCCAGGGGGATGAGGTGGATGAGGCTTTCTTCCTGCAACTCATGGAAGTTACTAGATCGCAGGCCCTGGTTCTCATGGGAGACTTCAATCACCCTGATATCTGCTGGGAGAGCAATAGAGCAGTGCACAGACAATCCAGGAAGTTTTTGGAAAGTGTAGGGGACAATTTCCTGGTGCAAGTGGTGGAGAAACCAAAAAGGGGCAGAGCTCTTCTTGACCTACTGCTCACAAACCGTGAAGAATTAGTGGGGGAAGCAAATGTGGATGGGAACCTGGGAGGCAGTGACCATGAGATGGTCGAGTTCAGGATCCTGACACAGGGAAGAAAGGAGACCAGCAGAATACGGACCCTGGACTTCAGAAAAGCAGACTTTGACTCCCTCAGGGAACTGATGGGCAGGATCCCCTGGGAGAATAACATGAGGGGGAAAGGAGTCCAGGAGAGCTGGATGTATTTTAAAGAATCCTTATTGAGGTTACAGGGACAAACCATCCCAATGTGTAGAAAGAATAGTAAATATGGCAAGCAACCAGCTTGGCTTAACAGTGAAATCCTTGCTGATCTTAAACACAAAAAAGAAGCTTTCAAGAAGTGGAAGATTGGACAAATAACTAGGGAAAAGTATGAAAATATTGCTTGGGCATGCAGGAGTGAAATCAGGAAGGCCAAATCACACCTGGAATTGCAGCTAGCAAGAGATGTTAAGAGTAACAAGAAGGGTTTCTTCAGGTATGTCAGCAACAAGAAGAAAGTCAAGGAAAGTGTGGGCCCCTTACTGAATGAGGGAGGCAACCTAGTGACAGAGGATGTGGAAAAAGCTAACGTACTCAATGCTTTTTTTGCCTCTGTCTTCACAAACAAGGTCAGCTCCCAGACTGCTGTGCTGGGCAGCACAGCATGGGGAAGAGGTGACCAGCCCTCTGTGGAGAAAGAAGTGGTTAGGGACTATTTAGAAAAGCTGGACGAGCACAAGTCCATGGGGCCAGATGCGCTGCATCCGAGAGAGCTAAAGGAGTTGGCGGATGTGATTGCAGAGCCATTGGCTGTTATCTTTGAAAACTCATGGCGATCGGGGGAAGTCCCGGACGACTGGAAAAGGCTAATGTAGTGCCCATCTTTAAAAAGGGAAGAAGGAGGATCCAGGGAACTACAGACCAGTCAGCCTCACCTCAGTCCCTGGAAAAATCATGAAGCAAGTCCTCAAGGAATCATCCTGAAGCACTGAGAGGAGAGGAAAGTGATCAGGAACAGTAAACAAGGATTCACCAAGGGCAAGTCATGCCTGACTAATCTAATTGCCTTCTATGACGAGATAACTGGCTCTGTGGATGAGGGGAAAGCAGTGGACGTGTTGTTCCTTGACTTTAGCAAAGCTTTTGACACCGTCTCCCACAGTATTCTTGTCAGCAAGTTAAAGAAGTATGGGCTGGATGAACGGACTATAAGGTGGCTAGAAAGTTGGCTAGATTGTCGGGCTCAACGGGTAGTGATCAATGGCTCCATGTCTAGTTGGCAGCTGGTATCAAGTGGAGTGCCCCAAGGGTCAGTTCTCAGGCTGGTTTTGTTCAATATCTTCATAAATGATCTGGAGGATGGTGTGGATTGCACCCTCAGCAAGTTTGCAGATGACACTAAACTGGGAGGAGAGGTAGATACGCTGGAGGGCAGGGATAGGATACAGAGGGCCCTAGACAAATTAGAGGATTGGGCCAAAAGAAATCTGATGAGGTTCAACAAGGACAAGTGCAGAGTCCTGCACTTAGGACAGAAGAATCCCATGCACCGCTACAGCCTAGGGACCGAATGGCTCGGCAGCAGTTCTGCAGAAAAGGACCTAGGGGTGACAGTGGACGAGAAGCTGGATATGAGTCAACAGTGTGCCCTTGTTGCCAAGAAGGCCAATGGCATTTTGGGATGTATAAGTAGGGGCATTGCCAGCAGATTGAGGGACGTGATCGTTCCCCTCTATTCGACATTGGTGAGGCCTCATCTGGAGTACTGTGTCCAGTTTTGGGCCCCACACTATAAGAAAGGATGTGGAAAAATTGGAAAACGTCCAGCGGAGGGCAACAAAAATGATTAGGGGTCTGGAACACATGCCTTATGAGGAGAGGCTGAGGGAACTGGGATCGTTTAGTCTGCGGAAGAGAAGAATGAGGGGGGGATTTGATAGCTGCTTTCAACTACCTGAAAGGGGGTTCCAAAGAGGATGGATCTAGACTGTTCTCAGTGGTAGCAGATGACAGAACGAGGAGTAATGGTCTAAAGTTGCAGTGGGGGAGGTTTAGATTGGATATTAGGAAAAACTTTTTCACTAGGAGGGTGGTGAAACACTGGAATGTGTTACGTAGGGAGGTGGTGGAATCTCCTTCCTTAGAAGTTTTTAAGGTCAGGCTTGACAAAGCTCTGGCCGGGATGATTTAGTTGGGGATTGGTCCTGCTTTGAGCAGGGGGTTGGACTAGATGACCTCCTGAGGTCCCTTCCAACCCTGATATTCTATGATTCTATGCAGCACTACATGTGACTAAATGGAAAAGATCTAGTCCAGGACTAATCCTATAAAGTCAAATAGTTTTGAGTTTGCCAGTTCAGGATTGTTAATGGTTTGTCCAGTCTAACTAGCACATGTGGATCTTGCGTCCTACCTACCCTGTATTTTCTAATAAAAGTGAAACACTGAAGAGAGAAATCATTCAGGTTATTATAGGGGAAGGAATTTTATTGCTTCAAATATTTTTAAACCTCTCCTGACACTGAAAACATACAGTGGTCATAAGCAGTCAAGGGCAATACTGATTTTAACTTTGCTACCAATTCAAAAATGGCATGGGCTTGTTTTCCTGGCTTTTAATGTCTTTTTCCCCCCTCCTACCTTGTTTGGTTCTTAATCGTTATCACAATCCGAGAAGAGAGTTTTAATGCTGTGTGGCAAATTTAGCCCATGGAATAAAATCTCAAGTATCCTTATACGACCTTACTTATATAATAGAGGCATATAAAATATGAGACTGTGAACATGAAGTAAAGTATAGATTTATGCACCTTATTTGCTTCTTGGCTCTAAGCTGAAGGCAACTGAATGCATGAAGAGAAATAAGTAGATTTCCTAAAACTGGAACAGTTCCCAAACACAAGAATAGGTATAAATAATAATGCCATAATGATTCTGACTTTTTTTTAATTCTGTGGCTCCTTTACAAGTGAGCTTCTTACATGCACTACCATCCCTTCCATCCTCCACTGCTTGGTTCTCAAAACATTTCCAAGATGTGCTCTGCAGACTACTGTTGGCTCCTGGGCCACGATAAGAGAACCACAGCACTAGAGAATGTTTTAAAAGCTTAAATATATGCATTTAGTTTTAATGTTTAAAAAAAAAATGTCCTCACTTTCATTTATACTGAACTCATCAGAGCTGGCCCAATAACTAGTTCTTGGGACCCTCAGTGGAAGTAGGACTTCAAGTGGGTGTAGTTTTATCCACATGTGGAGGCTGCAAGAACCTTTGTTTGCAGGGAATCTGCTAGCCTTATGGGCCCCAACCTGGAGAAAACAGGAAAAGGAGGCCCTGCACAGGGATGCTCCACCGGTGCAAGCAGTGAGGTCCAAAGTGCAGAACCATGAGCCCTTGGGCTGGGGATGAGATGAGGAATCCCCATTGTGATGTTTGCAGGAAGCTGGCTCTTGGATGCAAGAGCCCCTGCTTCTCTATGATTGGAGTCTCTGTAGGCACTAGGGGTACCCATTACCCTGGCTGCACAGAGACCCGTAGGCAGGTGAAGACCTACTTTGCTATGACAGGAGGTAATCTGAGTAGGGTTGCCAACTTTGGTTGGACAAATTCCTGGAGATTTCATCACATGACATAATCTTTAATTTAAAATTAATGTTTAATTGCTGGAGACTCCCGGACAATCCTGGGGGGTTGGCAACCCTACATTTGAGCGAGTGGCATTGGACCTGGTGCACCTGGGCACGGCAGTGCTCAGAGCTGGCTGGGCTCCAGTTCTGCCAGGACTGAGGGGCAGTCGGGCCAAAGTGGCTGCCCTGGGCAGCTGCCCAGCTTGCCTGGAGCTAGAGAGGCCACTGGGTGCAGGAGAGCAGGGGTGCCTTTACACCAAGGGTTCTCAACCTTTTTGTTTCTGAGTCCCACTCACCCCCAACATGCTATAAAAACTCCATGGCCCAGCTGTGCCCCAACAACTGGTTTTCTGCATTAGGGGGTAGCGAGCAGGGCAGCTGCCTGGGGCCCCAGACCCAGGCTTTACCTTCAGCCCCGGCGGGAGGGCTCAGGGACCCGGGCTTCAGCTTTCTGCCCTGAGCCCCAGCGCGGCGAACACCGGCCCTGCTTGGCGGCCCCTCAGGGGGGCCCGGAGCCCTGGCTGAGACCCGCGGGGCCTTGCTGTGATACTAGCAGAGGCAGCGCCCCCAGCCCCCTTCTCCTGCTCTGGGCCAGTCCGCAGGGAGCCGTCCCAGGGGCCCCCTCAGCGCCCCCGGGCGGAGAGGACAGCACCCCACGCGTTACTCTCCCGGGCGCCTTCAAGGCTGGACTGTACCAATGTAACAGGCTGGGGGGAGGAGAGTTGGCAACACCAGTCCACAGAATACCAGTTTAGGCCTTCTCTTCATCCCCGCGTCGATCTCTTTCCCCTCCAACTTCCCTTCATTCTTTACCTTCAGGACTAAGCACCCTCTCGCCCTCCTCCACACAATTCCCCCCTTCCTCACGCAGTGGTTCACTCCAGCCTAGAATCCCCACTCACCACGGCCGGGGTGGGGTAGGTTTCTTGCCCTCTCTTTCCCTCACTGTACGTGCAGCGTCGGGACGCTCTGCTGCGTGCTGCCGCCACACGCAACCAGCTGACGCTTCACCCCCGGAAGTGATGCAGGGGCGGGAGGGGGTCGAAGCCGAGTCTGGCTGGGAGCTGCCGAGGGTGAGTGAATTGGACCCTATCTCTTCCCGTCCGTCTTAGGGAGGCTTTGCCTGTGCTGGGCTGTGGGGGCCGGGAGGGGTAGGTGGGCTGTATGGGGTCGGGGGAAGGAGATAATAGGGCTGGAAGGAAGTATCATCCACTGGAATCATCCTTAAGTGCCCCAGCTCAGGAACTAGGCTCTCCAGCCCCCTGCGTGTGGGAGGGTCTTTGCCCATTGCCCTGCCCCCCAACGGGGGGAGGCTGTGCGGTCTCTCCCCCCCGAGTGGGAGAGCGGGGGGAAGTTGTGGGATCTCTGTTCCTCTTACAGGGTTGTGTGGGGGGGTGTGTATCCGCAACTCTTAACGATGGACCGCGGGGGGGGGGGTTGTGTACATCCCTTTGCCATCTGCATGGGGGCGGTTTCTAGGGTCGAGTATCCTAAAGCTCCTGCAACAATAACTAACGCCAGCGCTCTGATAACAAATAGTTCCTCTGCCTATCTCCTTCTCCCCACCACGTACCCCTCTTAGAGGTATAGGGTACAGCGGTTTCAGGGTTAGACCTTAAACAGAAACAGACTCTTCCTCTGGAGCTATTGGAGGTTATCAGGACCGGGGTGATAGAGAGAACCCCACGGTATTAATGTATGTGAAGTAAAGGGTGGGAGGATTTAGTTTTGTTGCATGCTTAGAAAATGTGGTGCTGTAATCTAGCGTTCCAGTCCAGTGTGCTTTTTTTCACCTCTTTTCTTTATATGATCTTCCTACTTGAAGGCTATTTAAGCAGCTTAAGAGAAGTATAGTTCCCTGGCCCCAAGGGGATTAGTGATTAACTCATAGTATCTGTTGAAGTGATGATCATATTTTGTTTGTGGTGCTATGTACAATGATGCTAAAATGTCTTTCTATAAATTATCAACATCGTTACTGAAATACAACCACCTTTAGGGTGAAGGGTGGCCACCAGCTGGCTCATAAACACACTCCACAAAGGTATTCTTTTACAAATATTTAGCAATAATCTAATGCTAAATTATGTGTGTGTGTGTATATACACGTTCATAGTATGTTTCAGAAAGTATGTGTGGGTGAAGTTATTCTTGTTTCCAGAATTGTTTCCATTATTTGAAAATGCTGACCTCACCCAGCCAGGTTTTTAGTATACATCATGTGTGTATTGAGCATGAAAGCTGCAAATGTTCCCTAATCACGCCTAATGCTTAGGTTATATAGACACTGTTATAGGTAAGATGGGAGTAACTTATGTGAACAATGTTGAAACAAACATGAATTGGAAAGACTTTATTTTGTACTACGATTATCAAAAGGAATATTTGGATTTCTTTATGCAGCGTAGCTAAAACGATTGATGCTATGTTTTATAAAAATGCATGGATACCTTTGATTTCTGTGGCAAGATGCCTGTTTTTCAGAACATTCTTCTAAATTAATTATTCCATCTTTAGGCTGTGGTATGGATTGTAACAACATTTTTTGTTTTTGTTTTTTGTTTTTTTTTAACCTCACAATTGCCATTGAGTACCACATTCCAATACGAGACATTTGGCTCTTAAGGAAGAGCTTCAGGTTAAGCCAGTACTATATTTTCTGAAGGCTCCTAATACTCTTGTGATCAGCCTTTCAACTTCAGGATTGTTCCATTGTAAACTAATTATTCTGCCTCTAAATTTGGGGAAGTAGTTGACTAGAATGGTTAGAAGATATCTTTTTCTAAATACAGATTTCTAGTATCTAGTTTGGAATCTCCATGTTAAACATTTAATACATGGTTAGTAGTTGTTAATATTTGACTTGGGCTAACAGTGGAAAGAAGTAATGTTGAACATTTGTGCCTCTTGAGTGTGCCTCTAATAAAGGCTTTGCTGGGTCTCTGGTCACTCACTTTCCAGGTACTTATCAGGAGCAGAAGGATGGTCTCTTGGCTAAAACATAGGGCTCGTAGTCATGATATCTGTTCTTGGCTCTGTTTTCTTATTTTTTAAAAAAATTACCTCACAAGTGTACTGTAAGGCTTAATTAATAGTCTGTGAAGAGCTTTTATAGCTCCCTCAGATGAAAGGCAACATGCAGTATGCAACTAAGTATCAGTATTATCAGGGGTGGAAAGGAGCTGCAGCAGTAGAGTTCTTGATTTGTGTTGACAAACTAGATCTAAGTCCAGTGCAACTGGTGTTAGAAACTTGTTGGAAAGTTCAGGTTATACAGTAATTTTTTTATTCTGATTATTTCATAATAGCTAATGTTGAGCTCAACATTCATAAATTTGTTTAAAGATTGCTGAGATACTAAGGGTGTACTTGTAGCAGTAATACTCTTTGACAGCTCAACTTGATGTTCTTGTGATTCCTTCAGTCTTGAGGCTGATAACCTGTATGATCTCTAATTTGCCACTAGATCCCAGAAATGGGGTTGGTGGCCTTCAGAATGCAGTGTTTTGCTTTAGCTCTTACTTAAGTGTTGTCTTGTTCCTGATAAACTTGGCTGATTTGTTCAGTCTCTGATTGTAGCAGTAGTTTTTTATAACTCATTGGGTTTTATAAATTTTTGTAATACACTTTGGTGCTATGATCTTAAGCACTTAACATGAAGGAGGGCAACAATATCAATAACAGGACAAGAGGGTGATTTGGGCAACAAAATCTAGGGCAGTTACTTCTGTAAGTCTGGAAAAAAAGATTACTTAGAGGTGGAGCACTGTCCAAAGGATAGAGGCTGCCAGGCTATCTGACTGGCTTCAAATTCAAGGACCACGTTCTGACCTCTCTTCTGTATATGTCAATGAGGGTAATGAAGAGAACTCTGCCGCCTTCTTCTTTGTAGCCCTATGTAGGAGATAGATAGAATCCTGTACCTTGTGCTCCATGAGTATGTGTATGGAGTGGGAAGAGGGAGGATAGATGGGGAAAGTAATATTCTGAGCTATCATTTTAAAAAGAATCTTAGCCTCTATAGCTGTGACTATGTCTTCTGGACTCTGCAAACAATGTCACTGCCTCTGTTGCCCCATGCTCCAGCAGTCTTGGTGGTTTTTGCTGCTGGTGTAGGAGGTATTGGTTAGTGTCACTACTATTATTGATATCCCTGTGGGTAGTGGTGAAACTGACACACTTTCATTCTGCTGTGTTTGTAAAAGGTACAAACAGCACAAACAATTGAGGTGTTCCATTAGGCATTTAGGTACTGTAGTAATGAGTATTCTAGAAATATTTTAAGTACATTTTTGTTGGCTGGGATGGAAGGACACCAAAAGTGGAGGCTGGGAATTGTTAGAGTAACAGAGATTCTTTCCACTCCCAACACTAAGGCTGAAGAAAGATCTTTCCTATCCTGGATCCTGAGGGGATGAAGGAATAAACTTGAAACATATTAGAGGCTTACTAGCCAGTGGATACAAAGGAGACCTGTAGCAACCCTGCTAGGAATCCCAAATCCTGCCTTCTTCCATGCAGGTGGGGTTCACATTAAGGGGTTGCCTCTTATCTTTCGGTCGCCTTCATCTTTATTTGCCCCTTATTGGCAGGCTTTGTCCTCTGGCTTTTGGGTGTCTAGAAATTTTTTCAAACAATATCTTAAATGGTTTTAATGTTTTGTGGATTATCTGCACTGGTGACATGGATTAATTGTATACTTGACTGTAGGTTATTCTGCAGTAATGACATAGTAACTCAACTTGAAACAATGGTAATTGCATAGTAACTTACGTTAGCATGTGTTGTCTTCTGGTAAAGAGCCAACTGCAATTTACCCTCTTTAAACAGATCCTAGTAAACTGAAGCTCTCTTGAAGAGTGTACAAATGCTAGGCAGCCTTCTATACAACTGAGTTATCTTGGCAGACAACAGACTTCTTATCTTGTCTAGAAGTCTCATAAGAGTCAAATACTTAAAGTGCTGGAATGTTAAGTAGTTACAAATTAAGGTCAGAAAACCCAAGAGTCCTAACTATAATCCTTTATAGCTGACATCTACTGTAACTTCATGCTGCCATGACATAGCATCTTGGGAACTGCTTAGCAGTGGCAACTCTTGTTATTCAGAGAGTCTGAGAGCCCGAGGGATGATGATAGTTGGAAAACCAAATATGAATTTGCGGCTCTGATACCATGGCAAATATACCCAGTATGTGGTGTTTATGCCTACGTAAAGGGATCACCTGTAGAACAGGTGAGGTAGTTGTATAGCCTTATGTACCTCTCGCTTGACATTCTGTGTGAGGTTCTGAACTTCACAGTTCAAACATGATAGAAAAATTACAAAGCAGGGCAATACAGGTGATCCAGGAATTGGAGGCTAAGACCTGAAGAGTCTGAGGGAGCTATGCTTCTGTAGAATGGAGAACCCAACATACTCATGTTGTCTATAAATGCCTTCAAGCTAGATATATGAATGGGAATTATTTAGAGACTCTTTTAATTATTTGTGTAAGCGATGGGAGAAGAACTGATATCTTGAAGGAAAATAATAGGGTAGGTATTAGAAAAGTGTTCTTTAATGGGAGCATTTGGGCAGTGGAAGAATGATGTTTGAGGCACTATTGCTCAGATATTGTCAAGAACTGTTTGTTGGTCATTTTATGAATACTGAGCAAAATGTAGGAGGTCAGATTAGATTTAAGCATGAGCTATGATTAGGGCCCTACCAAATTCACAGCCATGAAAAACACATCACGGACCGTGAAATCTGGTCTTCCCCCCCATGAAATCTGTGTGCTTTTACCCTCTACTATACAGATTTCACGGGGGAACCAGCGTTTCTCAAATTGGGGGTCCTGACCCAAACGGGGGTCACAGTATTGCCACCCTTACTTCTGTGCTGCCTTCAGAGCTGGGTGGTCGGAAAGTGGCGGCTGTTGGCCGAGTGCCCAGCTCTGAAGGCAGCGCTTCGCCTGTAGCAGCACCATACCATGCCACCCTTACTTCTGCGCTGCTGCCTTCAGAGCTGGGGGGTCCTAGAGTGACGGCTGCTGACTGAGGGTCCAGCTCTGCAGGCAGCAGCGCAGAAGTAAGGGCGGCAATATCATAGCATGCCATCCTTACTTCTGTGCTGCTGCTAGGGGCAGTTCTGTCTTCAGAGCTGGGCTCCCAGCCAGCAGCTGCTGCTTGCCAGCTGCCCAGCTCTGAAGGCAGCGCCGCTGCCAGCAGCAGCGCAGAAGTAAGGGTAGCAGTACCGCAACCTCCCTACAATAACCTTGTGACCCCCCCCCCTCACAACCCCTTTTTGGGTCAGCACCCCTACAATTACAACACTATGAAATTTCAGATTTAAGTGAAATCATGAAATTTACAATTTTTAAAATCCTATGACCGTGAAATTGACCCAAGTGGACCCTAAATTTGGTAGGGCCCTAGCTATGATATTTACCAACATTTCACAGAATAGTTCTAAATGCCACCATCACTTCTGTAATATGTGCTTTAGAGCAGGCAAACCTTTAATAACCGGTAGTGCTACTATTGAACTTCTGTCAGTTTTTTCCATTATAACCAAAAAGTTAAGCTGAAAAAGTGAGCAAATTGATATCTAAGGCTGTCATGCTGCTGTTGATGTGTCATTGGGTATAAATATTAAACAGATCTCAACAGGAGTGTGTGATGCACAGATTCTGTTTTTTTATTTGTGCACAAAAGTGGATGAGCAGCAATTTTTACTCTAGATTTCCTAGCTTTTACAATCTAATTTCTTGTTACTTTCATGTATCTAAGCCTCAGTCTGACCCTTTGTTAGCCTTGTGGGGATGGGAAAAGGCCAATCTCTTCAGACAAACATTAGAGATTACTAAAAAAAAAATCAAGTGTGTGTTTGTCTTCTAGAGATGGGTTCAAGCAAACAAGTTTGAATCCAAATCTCCTATAGTTTGTGGGTATTTGTATATGGGGCAGTGGTACTATTCCCAAGCTAAATATTAAATGTTTGCATTACAGAATTTTCAATATAGGAGGGCCTCTCAGTACTCTTGTTCAGTATATAGACACT